GGGGCCACCCGTTTTTATCAGAATGGTCCAGACTCCTCAACTTCCCCTGCCTGCTCAGTGTTGGCGTCCTGTCTGGATGGGGTGGTGGCCGGCGGTTGCCCTGCAGCCCTGCAGGATCCGCGGGTGCTCACCTCCTTGGCCTCTCTGCCTCTCTCCAGTCTCCTGCTGGGAGCTCCGCGGGTGCATGGCCGGCTGGCTCTCAGGGCTGAGGGGCACTTCTTGACCCGGGCTGGTTCACACGTGTCCCTGCTCTTCTCCCTCCTTGGCTCTCCTTTATTCTGCCGGCACCGAGCCTCATCTTTTCTTGCTCCCTTTCCTACTTAACCCTTTGGTTTTGCTGTTACACTTGATTTCTTCTCCTGATGGGTCCTCTCGTCCCCGACCTTCGTGCCGTCGTGAACCCTCTGCTGACCCCGTTGAATTCAGCTAACGGAGCCTTTAGTTCTAGTGTCTCCACCGGCTCCTTAAGAAAACACCTCTGAGTTCTTCCGTGACATCGTGCATCCGTTTTCTGCCTTTGTGCACAGTGGCCAGTCAGCTGACCGCTCTTGCGAGTGCACTATGTGTTCCTTTTCCTTCTGCCACTGGGCCTCGCTGTCGCCTGGGGTCTGGCCGTAGGTGGAGCAGGGAATTCTGTATCTTGGCTGCTGGGCAGAAAACAGGCGATTAGACCCCCTGTAGTGCAAGGCGAGCTCTGCAGTCAGGGGGCCAAGCCAGGAAGTTCAAATGTCACAAAGGAGAAGGGCTGGTGACAACTGAGGTACATGATGCATCTCCCTGAAGACCCAGGGATCAGCAGCAAGAGCAAGAAAAACACCAAGAAAGAGAATGCAGAAAGAGTGGGTCTGAAAATACAGCAGCTGAAGGAAAGGTCTGTTTCAGAGCTTGAGGAGAACGCCCTCTGCCCAAGGCCAGGGCAGTGCCGGCTGTCCCAGCAACTCGGAGGCTGACGCAGGAGGCTGCAAGTCCAGGGCCAGCCTCTGCAACATAGCAAGGCACTGTCTCGAAATACAATTAAAAGGTGCGGGGGCATGGCTCCGTGGCAGAGCGCCCTGGGTTCAACCCGAGGACCCGGAGAGAGAAAACAGCCTCGCAAAGCGTTAGGAGATCTGCCAGCCAGACCCCCAAGGCAAACCTCAGAATGAGAAGGAACAAATCCAGGAAAAGCTACCAGAGACAAGAGGAGAGAGGAGGAGCCAGAGATCCCAATGGCTGCTCCGACTCTGAAAAAACACGCCCAGGCCCAGTCGGGAAGCAAGCCTCAGCGGAGGCCAGGCGGAGGGAGGCAGCCAGCCTCACCTGGCCAGGGAGGCAGCCATCAGGCTAAGCCAAGCTGCAATCCAGAAGAAGACGTGACCACGAGCAGCCCTCCCCACAGCCCCGGAGCCTGCAGGATGCTTCTGGGTAGGCCCAGGGCCAGCAGGAGGTCATTGCCTCAGCCTAGAGTCTCAGCTGGGCCCTGGCTTGGAGAGGGCACAGGTGACTCCTCCCCCAGAGTCTCCAGCCTGGCCTTTGTTCCCCCAGGTCTCTGCTTCTATCTCACTGGTGCCATTCGAGCTGCTCCACCCAGCAGGAAGCCTCACAGTGCCAGAGGGGCTGCAAAATCGCCCTCCTTCCACCCACTGAGACGATCCCGATCCCGACACTGAACGTGGGGAGATGTCTTTCCCCCTCCTCATCTCACTTCCTGCCGTTCCCTTCTGCTTTGGGGCCTCATCCAAGTCCATTCCTGCATCTGAGTCCTTGTTCTGGAGGCAGCCCTGGGCCCCCACATGGAGTAGAGCCCCTGTGTCCCCCCCACCCCCGCCCCGTGTGGCAGTTCCCAGCTTGTGTCTCCCTGTGAGCTCTCTGTGCAGGGACCTTGGCCCACTCAGGCTGGACCCTCCTGTAGCAGGAGAAAGAAAGGAGGAGACTCTAGTGCTGAGGGTGGACCCAGGCTGTGGGCGCAGCTGCCTCTGACCAGGGAGGAGCAGGACAGAGCTCCAGGGCTGGGGACTTCCATGCCAGTGGATGCCACCCTGGAGCAGGCTTTATCGCTCAGGTCCCCTCGACCCCAGGAGAAAGGTTGTGCCTGCAAGGCCCCCACTGGCCCTAGCTGGACAAGGACAAAAGATCTGGGGTCGGAGTGGCTCTCTGCACTTCACACCCTCATCTGGAAACCATCCTGGACTTCTTGAAGACGAGTTTCCTGTTCCAAGTTGTGCGGCAAACATTCCCGGGTAATACCACTTTGAGCCTCGGCGAGGTCTTGAAACCCAGCTGCAAACCGTGGCGTGGAGTGGGTGATAAATGGGAGCCGAGTTCTGCTGCCAATCAACAGTGACTCTGGACCCTGGCCCTGCTGGAATCTCGGCGACGGCACGCCCTTCTGAAAGCCTTCAGCTGTGAACAGACAATTCAGTGCCGCAGGAGAGGCCACAGCCCGCAGAGACAAAGCCCAGGGTCAGGAGCCCTCGGGGCCTGGTGTCCAGGGAGGCGTTGAGCCACTTCAGAAGGAGGGAAGGACTTTGTCCCCTTCACAGGGGACACCTGCATTGTCCTAGCTCTGCGCTGGACAGCTCTGAGTGTCTGAAGAGACGCTGTGCAGCTGAGCGGCCAGTGGGACACCTGTCTCCAGCCGCTGGGCTTCAACTCTGTCTTACCCACGTCCTTTTAAGAGCATCAGCTCAACTTCTAGGACTTGGAGTCAACCTCAGCCTGGTGCCTCCCCTGCACGCCTCCAGAAATGGAGGACGGGGCTGACGGGTATCAGGAGAGGTCTTACTTCCTGAGACGCTGCTCAGGCACATGCAGGTGACGCTGGCCCCAGGACTGCGCGCCTCGCCCTGCCTAGTGCTCTTGGGGAATCAGGGCTCTGTCCACTTCCCTGGTGACTTCCAGGCCCTGGGGACGTCTTCCCAACTTCCTTCCAGCCACAGCCGGGTCGGCCCACTGTGGACCAAACCTCCCCCTGGAGTCTCCCAGAGAACAATGTCCTTTTCCTGGAAACGCACTGTGTGGGTTTTTTTTTTTTTAAAGTATTTATTTTTTAGTTGTAGTTAGACACAGTGCCTTTATTTTAGTTTTATATTACTTTATAAAAATATATTTTTATATTATTTTTATGTGGTGCTGAGGCTCGAACCCAGGGCCTCACATGTGCTGGGCGAGCGCTAGCCCCAGGGAAACGCACTGTGTTTAACCTCTCGGGATTCAACCTTGGGGTCGCTGGGAGCGGAGCCGAGTTCCGGGCTTGGCCTGTGGTGGGCGGGATGCTCGGTACCGCATGGTCCTGGAGGTTGAGCCTGCAGGCCGTCCTTTGACAGTCCAGCCAGCTCGCCCCTCTGTCCTCACTGGAGGGCACGGGTGGCCCTGCAGCCCACGGCAGGCCAGGGTCAGGCTTCCCATGTCCTGTGCGGAGAGGAATGTGCCGCAGGTCCGTCTCAATCCCACGTCACCCTCCTAGCCTGGGCCAGGCCAGGGCCCCAGGGTGGCAGGTGGGCTGAGTCAGAGACCGCTCCAGCCCAGCTGTGCCTGCGGTGACCCCAAACCTCCCTCCCTGTCCTCTTTCATCCCACCAGCACTTACGGAGTGCCTTCTGTGTGCTAGGTGAGCATGAGAACAAGTCAGACGACTTGAGCTGAGAGGGAGGAGAACGGACCACATGGGAAGGGCGGGACCTCCTCCTGTCCTGACCTGGTCTGTGGCTTCTGACCTGCCCAGTCGACTTTGGACGTGGCCCCTGCCTAGGTCCCACCGGAGGCTGCAGTCCTCCACCCCCTCCTCCCACAGCCTCCCTGGGCAGCCTCCACCAGGTTGTCCTCCCAGGCCCTCTCCCTTCCCGTCGTGGGGAGGACACCCCCAGCTCCAGCCCTCATGGCAGCCTGGGCTCCCCAGGCCCCCCAAGAGCAAGCCCCCCAGTGCTGGCAGCCAACACACTCACAAGTCACAGCTCGGCTCTCATTGTCCCCTGCAAGCGGGGGCTTCTGCTGCATGTGCCCCCACACCCATGTAGTCACTTCAGCTGGGCCAGCATGGGGTGAGTGGGGCCCAGGCTCTGCACACACCCACCAAGGAGGCCCTGACCCCAGGCCCTTCGCAGGGACTGAATGCTGGACGGCTCCCTCATCCGCCCCTGGAGGGGACTGGTATGCTCACACCAGGTCAGGACAACCCGGGGGCAGACTCACGCCCCAGAGAAGGGGTAACTTTTTCTTTGACACTAAGGTGCACAAGATCAATTTCCTCTCAACTTTATTCCAAAACATAAAGAACTCAAACTTTTGGCCAAAGGGGGAAGGTGAGGATTATGTTCTCCTGGGTCTACATGGGTGTGCACACACGTGTAGGTGCACATGTGCACATGCACATGTATGTCTCACAGCAAGCCTGGCCTGGTTGTCCTGTGGACTCTCAGCCCGGCCTCAGCCTGCTTCTTCAGAGCAGAGTCCTGGGATGCGTTTGGGGCCTGGGCTCCTGGGGTCCAGCCAGGTGGCCACTTGGATGGTCTCAGAGCCCACGACTGAGACAGGTCCTGGTTTTCCAGCTTGCCGGGGCTGCTCAGCGTCCTGGCCCCCTCCTCCTTGGCTCTCTGGGGGGAGCCGGCTCAGCCCGCCAGGTGGTGCTGGGACCTTGCCTGGTGCTGGGCGGTGCCCGCTCAGTCTTGCTTCCAGCTGTCTCCCTGGGCAGCCCAGTCCCAGGCTTTCTCCTGCTGCGCCCAAGAGCACTGCCCCCTAAGACCCGAGTGGGCGGGGCGTGCAGCTGGTTTCCTGCTGCTGTGGGGTCACAGAGAAGCCACCGCGGAGGAACCCAGGGCGAGGGTCCCAGTGCACTCAGTTTGCCCTAAGGACCCTCCAGCCCCTGTGGTGAAGCTCAGGAGCTCGGCTCCCCTGGGGATGGCCCCGGGGTCACCAGCCAGTGCACCCATCCCATGCTGCTGAGAGCAGACCCCAGATGTCCCAGTGTCCCCTGCTGCAGGAGATCCCGCCCGCCCTCTCCCCGCTGGGTACTCCCCACTGGGCACTCTCCCTGCCACCGGAATGGCCCAGCCCAGTCCTCCAGGAGGGACAGGCAGGAGAGCAGATGGGGCACGAGGAGCCACTAGGTGCCTCCATCGGACCTCCGCGTCCTGCAGGTGGCCCCAGCAGGCAGGCGTCTCCACAGGGCCAGGACGGGGTCGGGAGCTGTGCTCACGTGGTCTGGGTCCCTCCTGCCCCACCCCTCTTTCCAGGGCCTGACCAGCCCCTGCCCTGGGCTGTCTCAGGCAGCTGGATGCCCACCTATGGGTCCCCCAGCCTGGGAGTGAAGGACCGACCCTGGTGCTGCCCCACAGTGGAGGGTGCCCAGGCCACCTGGCCCTCCCTATGCCTGGTTTCCGTGGGAGTCACCCATTCCGAGGCACTTGCTGGTCTCTGAGGTGGCATCATGGGACCCACCCGGGGGTGCGCCCTGCAGGCCCTGTAGCCACGCCTGGTCTGCCAGCCTAGCGCCACTGCTCCCACAGCAGGGCCCTGAGTGGGGGGCCTCGTGCCTACATGGCACTGCCAGCCACCTGCACTGCTCTAGGGCGCCAGGAGACACAGGACCCTTCCCACTGCCAAGGTGCCACCCCAGGTGACACCTGCGCCTAGTGGGCTCGGGGCCAGAGTGGGTCTGGCCAGGACACAGGAGCCGTCTGCTCCCCCAGGGAGAAACCAGGAACCCAAGCCCTTCTCCCCAGTGGGCTGGAGGGTGCTTTCCACACTGCCTTCCCCAAAACAGAGGGCTCAGGGGTCGGGCACCTTGCTGGGGGCCATGCGTGGTGCAGCCAGCTGGTTCCTCTCCTCTGTCTTCTGCGAGTCCTGTTTCTGTGGGAACACCTCTGGGACCTGCGGGAGGTGACATGGCCTCTCGTCTGCTGTCTGCTCAGAACAGCTGTCGGCTGGGCCTCCTCAGGTCTTTGGGGCCCTGAGCTCCTGCAGTTTGCAGGCCTGGGCAAGGGCCAAGCCAGCACTCGGGGTCTCCCGGCCTCCACTGCCACCGCGGCCTGCTCCAGGAGTGCAGGTGGACACTCCACGCTCCTTCCAAAGGCAGACCAAATCCCCCTGCAGGTCCGCGGAGGCCTCCGGTGGGAGCCTTTGCCTCACACACAGCCTCCCCCGGGTGTCCTGCTGCTTCTGTGCAGAGCAGTCTTCAGCCTGGACTGTCCCTGCCCCCTGGAAACTGACGTTCCCCAGCGTTTTGGTGGGTCAGGGGCATGAAGACCTCGGTGCCAGCCCCTCTCAGTGCTGCGGGGGTGTGAGTTGCTCTGCAGCCAGCACCCACCTGCTCCAGAACTTTCCATCTTCCTGAACTGAGACTCTGTCCCCAAGAAGCGCCAACTCTCGTCCCCCATGGTGCCGGGAGACCTCCCTCCTCCCGCTGTCCCTTGACTCCAGGGCCTTGCCTTTACTCTCTAGCTGATGTCCTCGAGGCCAGCAGTGCTGTAGAAGACAGCAGCGTCCAGCGCACGGTGCGCATCACAGCTACTTCTCCCTGTGTCCACCCACAGGCTCCTGGGTTGCTGCTCCCTTGGCCACTGTGCTGCTGAGGGGCCCTTACCTCTGTGAGGGCCTGGATTTGGCTCTTGGGGTGCAGACTGAGTGAGGGTTCCTGGGTCAGGGGACAGTTCTGTTGATTTTTGGAGAAACCCCACATGCTGATTCACACGGCAACTGCCCCGATTCACACTCCGCCAACAGAGCGCGGCCAGCTCTCAGCTCCCTCAAGGACACCTAGTATCTCTGTTTCTCTTGACAGCAGCCACCGCCAGGGCCACCATCCTCTGCCTCCAACGGTCTCTAGTTTTGAAGAATAAGAATGGGAAGGGGAGGGTGGGGAGGGGCTCAGAGTGGGCCTCACCAGGCCCTCCTGCCCCTCCCACCCTCACTCACAGCTGGGCCCTGCCTAACAGACCCTTCCTTCAGCACCTTCAGAGAGCACATGGGCAGCCGCCCCGGCCTCCTGTCCTCCAGTTCCCTCTGCAGACCTCTCCACCCCGTGATGCTGCTGCCCAAGTGGCTCCGTGGCTCAGGGACATCTGACAGGTGTGATCATCTCTCCCTTCCTCTCAAGCTGTTGCCCCCTGGCTGTTTCCTGGAGGGCCAGGGCCTCATGGCAGGGGTCTCCTGCTAAGCTGCGGGAGTGTTCTGATGACGCCAGCCAACTTTGCCCGGGAGTGGTGCAGAGGTGGACATGGGGGCACATCACTCCCTCTCACTCCTGCAGGTCTTTCTCCTGGAGGACGAGAGGTGACAGGTCTGGAGAGACTTAGCATCCTCTGCCTGGGAGCCCCACGGTGACTGGCAGCTGGCGCTGCAGGTGCCCTGAGGTGCCCTGGCCCTGGAGGCTGCTGGCCATGCCAGGGCTGGGCTGCAGGGAGAGGGCTTTGCTCCAGGGAACACATGGGTGCTGGGGCACAGGACAGCAGGGCGCAGGCACTGGCCTGTGAGGGACATTCAGGGATGCCCTCTCCAGCAGCTGGTGGCCAAGTAGGGACAAATCACAGAGTGGGGGGGCAGCCGGGCATCCCAGGGCCACCTGAGAGAGAAAGTCAGGGCTGACCCTGGCCTGCAAGACCCTTGGGGGTTTGCAGGTGGGGTCCCTGCCTTCTGCACTGAGCCGGAGGGCCAGAGAGGCAGCAGCATACTCCTAAGAAGTGTGGTTTTCAGGCTGGGGTTTGGGATACGACCATCCCACCAGCACTGTCCAATCAGGGGGCCACGTCTGGTGGGGCCAGAACTGGATCCCTCGCAGTCACATCCCCAGAGAGTGTTGGTGCAGGAAGGACAGGGAGGCCAGCCTCACCTGGGGCTCTGAGGAGTTAGATTTCCCTTCCTCACTGGGCTTCTGCGTGGACACTTCAGGGCATCTGTGTGGAAAGAGGAGAGCTATCAGTCCTCAGGTTGGGTCACCACGGGCTTGGTGGACTGGACCCATGCCCATCCACAGGACTCCTGTACATACCTCTCCGATCTCCACCCACACCGTCATTCCCATCCCCATCCCCACCCTCATCCCATATGCAGCCCCATCCCAAACCCCACTAATCCACATCCCCATCTCCATCCCCCTCCCATGAGGACGTGGATGGCAGTGAGGATGGGGTGAGGAAGGATGGGGATGGGATATGATGGGATGGGATGGGATGGGGATGGGGATGGGGATGGGGATGGGGATGGGATGGGAATGGGATGGGAATGAGGATGGGAATGGCATGGCAATGGGATGAGGATGGGGGTAAGATGAAGATGAGGATGGGATATGATGGAATGAGATGGGGATGAGGAGGGGGAGGGGGATGGGGATGAGGAAGGGATGGGGATGGGGTTGGGGATGGGGATGGGGATGAGGATAAGGATGGGGATGGCAATGAGGATGGGATGAAGATGAGGATGGGGATGGGGATGGGGATGGGATGGGAATGGCGATGAGGATGGGCATGAGGATAGGCTGGGAATGTGGATGAGGATGGGATGGCGATGGGATGGGGATGGGATGAGGATGGGAATGGGATGAGGATGGAGGTGAGATGAAGATGAGGATGGGATATGATGGAATGGGATGGGGATGAGGAGGGGGAGGGGGATGGGGATGAGGAAGGGATGGGGATGGGGATGGGGATGAGGATGAGGATGAGGATGGGGATGGCAATGAGGATGGGATGAAGATGAGGATGGGGATGAGGATGAGGATGGCGATGAGGATGGGCATGAGGATAGGCTGGGAATGTGGATGAGGATGGGATGGCGATGGGATGGGGATGGGATGAGGAACTTGTGTTCCGCCCCTCCCCACACGGGGCTCGAGGGAGACAGACTGGTGGCCCTGTTTTACTAGGAGAAATCGGTGCTGTGCCTAGCTCTGCTTCCAGCTCCGTGGAAGGGAAATGGTTTGTTCTGGCAGCAGCACATAATTAGATCCTCATGTCCGCCCGGCCAGCCTTCCTTGGGACACACTGGCCAGGAGCCGCTGTCTCTGGAAAGGCCTCCTTTGGGGTTGGGCCCAGAGCTGCAGGCACCTGGGCATCCTCCCAAAAGTCCTGGTGCCTGTGTTTGTGGGGGGGAATGGCGGGACCCTGTGCCTCCTGAGCCCCTGCGCCAGGTCTTCTCTGTTCTCTCCAGGGAGCCTGGACATCTCTTCCAGGTTTTGCTAAAAGGAGGCCTGGGCCACAGTGGACACATCAGGACCCCAGTGAGACAGGCAGGAGGGGAGGGCACCTCAGACAGCTGCAGCCCACCTGCCAAGCCTGCGGTCCATGTTGCTGAGGAGTGTAATGCCTCGTGTCTGGGGTCATCCACAGCCTCTTCCCCTGTTGGGGTAGTGGTGGCCAGTGGACTCCTGCTGGCGTGGCTCCTCCCAGAGCTGCCTGGGCTCTGCGTGGACGACTGGTCTTCAGGGTCCACCATGCCACTGAGCCAATGTCCTGCTCTCCTACAGTATGTGAATGTCCCAGCAGGAGGAGGGGAGAGGACACTGGTGCTAGCCCAGGAGGGCCCCGAGGAGGACTTGGGAAGGAGAGGCCTCTGGGATTGGTGAGAGGAAGCAGCTGCCGCCATGTCGTTCACTTATTTAACAAAGGGATTGTGAGGCCACACTCAGGCAGAGCGAGTTAGGGTCCAAAGAAGCCACTGTCTCCTGGAGGCCAAGGCCTGAGGGAAGCAGGATCCAGGAAGACCCTGGAGTCCAGGTGGTCAGGCTGTCAATGGAGGGTGGGGACAAGCACCCAGCTCTGGAGGTGCCCCTGCCCTGTATGCCAACATGTCCACAGCAGCTGCCTCTCAGCCACAGGAGGTGTGGCTGCGCCTGCCTGCCACAGGGTCTGGACACAACCCAGCTCAGGTGAGGCCACATCCTGCTTGCTGGAGGGAGGTGGGGAGGGGGGACTTGGGGGCAAGGCCAGGATCCAGTGTGGCTCTGTGTCTAGGCCAGCAGAGAAGAGTGGGCACAGGGATGAGGCGGTTGCCCACATACCCAGGGACCTTGAACCCACTCTCACTGACCTGGACTGGGTGCCAGGTGCCGGTGTTGGGGAGGCCCCGGGATGGGGCGGCTGAGGTGGCCCTCACACACACCCAGTCGGCCTGAGTTTCCAGAACCCGGAGCTTCTGAAGTGGTTGTAATGCCTGGCTGTGGCCATGTCACAGAGATGTGCTGAGACTTAGGCCCTGTCATACCCACTGAGTGGGAGCCGCAGTGGACCCTGGCCCCTCTGCAACAGAGGGCATGAGCCCAAAGACTAGGTGCCACTCATGGTCTTGTGGCCAGTGACTGGATGGTCCTGCTGACCACTGCCTGAGCCTGTGGCCACAGCCTATACTCTGACTGGGCCCCAAGACACTCACGATGTCCCAGATGGCCCCGGCAGACCTATCTTCCAGGTGGGGAAGCTGAGTCCCCGGGGAAACCTGCTCAGCTGGGTGCTCTGCTGCTGGAGCCCCTGCGGCGGGAGGCTGGGGGCAGGCGGCTGTTCCCTGGCCCTTTCCTGATCTAGCCGTGTGACTGAGAGCCTGGTCAGCTGGGCTGCAGGCCCAAACAGTTGGCTGAACTGACTTCAGCAAAATGCCCACATGGTGCCAAAAAGGCACATCCTCCCTCAAACACCAAGTCCTTTGTCCATTACTTATGTTTATTTAAATAAGTCTAATCCACGTCATTTCCCCTAGACTGTATTTCCCTCCTACCTGCGGGAGACTGGAGGCTACCACCTGGCCTATGGGGGCCGCGTGCATTAGATAGAGACCCAGCTTACTCCCCCTGGCCCTCCTTGGACAACGTGGGGTAGCCAACTGTCAGCTTAAGTTCCTTTAAGAAGAGGGACCACCGAATGAAGTCACCTGCTGTGGGCACCCTGACGGCACTCCATGGGACCACGCTACTGGTCACTCCAACGTGGCCCGAGGGTCTTATCAGGATGGGAGCTGAGGTCACGGTGGTCACAAAACCTGATTCTCACTAGAGTGAGCTGCTCAGCACTGCATGGCTGGCCGGGGGCTCCAGGCAGGGCGTCCTGGTGGGTGAGGCCAGGCCCAATCCATCGCCAGGTCTTGGCTGGGCCTTAGTCACTATCCAGAGCTCACAAGCCACAGCTGGAGGCTGTGTGGTATCTGCGTCTGCTGGGCTGCCCTCCCTGGGCCCTGGCTCAGATCTAAACAGCCACCGAGACACCTGAGGATGTGCGTCTGGGTGGGACTGCCTCCTCTGGGCGCAGCAGGCTCCTGCGGTCTCCAGCAAGTGGGGACTCTCCTGGGGCTGGGGTGGTGAGGCTCACCTAGAGCTGCTCGTGGGAGGGGACTCTTCAGGTTTCCGCAGACAGAGGGCCGCTTCTCCAGGAGCAAGTGCTCATCCGTCCAGCCCGGGAGGACACGAGCCCTCGGGCACCAGGGTCCAGAGCCCCTGGCCATGATGGAGGAGAGCTGGCCTTTGCAGGACACCTCCACAGTAACCAAGGCAGGTGATGTCCTCTTATGCTCTTCATGCAGCTGTGCAGCACTAGCTCCCACCCTGGGCTGATGGGCTTCACCACAGCCTTGCGGGGAAGCTCACCAAGGGGGCGGGGGGAAGCCCGGAAGCCCCTGGTGACACTGCGTGCGAGGGTCCCCACCCCGGGTTTACATGCTGGTCAGGGTCCCACTTCAACACCCCCCCCCAGACTTGGGTCAGGGCTGAAGCCACAGGGCCGAGCTCTGGGGTCTCCTTCGAGCCGCCCCTGCTTGCTGCACTTCGGGAGGCGGGGCTGGCAGACCACCCGGAGGTGGCAAGACCCCTTCAGAGGCTCAGAGGTGCCACAG